CGGGGACCCGCTGGGGCTCCCACGGTCAGGGGCTCCCCCAGGGCTCCCCCAGCCCTCCCGGCACTGCCCGCCCTCCCACCGGGCTCTGCACGTGGCCTCCCCCCAGCCTCCACGGGCCCTGCTCCCCCCAGCCCTCCGCGCTGCCCCGGACCTCCCTGCATGTACCTGGACATGGAGGTTGGGCTGGGAGTTGAGGAAGTCAAAGATGCGCTGGTAGTTGAGGAACTGGGCATCCCACTCCTGTGGCTTGTCGTAGCGGAAATCGTCGCCCAGGGGCACCAGCAGCACCTTGCTGCGGTACAGCTTGGACTTCTTGCGGTACTGGTCCAGCAGCAGCTGGGCTCTGCCATGGGGGGCCAGGGCATGAGGCTGGCTCCCAGACAGGCCCGTGGGGCTCAGAGCCGCTTGCCCCTGCCCCTGCAGCACTCACCGCTCTGCCACGTTGGCATCGGTGATGGCTCGGGGAGGCACCTTCCACGGGCAGTTGATCCGGCCACCCGGCAGGCGCTTGAAGTCAAACTGGCAGCAGATCTTGGGGTCTGGCCCGCAGGTGTGCGGCACGTCATAGCTGTAGAAGGGCATCATGTGGCAGAAGATGTCGGTGCTGGCATCTGGGTCTGTGGGATCAAGGACAGCTGAGCACCAGCAATGGCTCTCCCTCGCCTATCCCCAAGCAGGGGTGCCCACGGGCATGTCAGCGTGGAGACGGCTGCTGGGGCAGAGCAGACCCAGCACACAGGCTCACCCACTGGGGGCCCAGATTGCCCAGCAGCCTCCCCCAGAGCGCGGGGCACAGAGGGGAGTCACCCTGGGGCTGTCCCACAGGGCAAAACCGCTGCAGGGCTGAGCCATCGCCTCCCAGCGCTCGGCTCGCCGTCCGCACAGGGAAGTGGTCGCTCACTGCTCCCTGCTGCCACCCACCCTGGCAGGGCCCCCTCTGCGGTCACCTCCCCAGCAGCGTCTCACCCCACGTCTGTCTCCACATGAACTCCAGGTTCTGGGTGGCAGCAAAGTGCTTCTTGATGGCGTAGTGCACGCGCTGGATGAGCATGCCCGTCAGGTTGGAGCGCTTCAGCAGGTAGGGCATGGTGGAGCTGTGCCCAAAGGGGTCAACGGCCCAGCCCGACCGGGGCGTCACGCCTGGGGGCGCAGAGACCCGTCAGCCCTGCGCTGCGCCCCGCAACACCTCTGAGAGCAGGCTCCTGCCAGCAACGGGGGTGCCCGCTGGCACATCAAGCGGGCCCCCAGCCAGCACCCTGCCCCTCCCACCAGCATCCCACTCAGTTCTCACCGATGTTCTTCTCCAGCCACTGGTGCCCCTCGATCAGCTGGTCGATCATGGCAAAGTAGTGGGAATTGGCCTCGTCGGGCATCACCCAGCCACCCGTCACCATCTCCAGCTGCCCATTGCCAACCAGCCTGCAAGGGGGACACACAAGATGTGATCAGCTCTGGGCAGAGCCCTGTGGCGAGCTGCGTGTCCATGGCAGAGCCTCACCCCCTCTTGGAGTCATCTGGGTCCCACCCACAGCCTCCGCAACGACTGGCTGCTGTGCAGTGCCCATGCTGTCCCCCCGTGCAGCCCCCCCCTCCACAGCCCCACGCCGGCTGGGCCCCAGCCAGA